AGGAGAAGGAGAAGATCATCAGATAATGAAGAAGAATGTGAAGGAGAGGAGGAGGAGGACGAGGAGGAGGAGGAGGAGGAGGAGGAGAAGGAGAAGGAGAAGAAGAATGAGGAGGAGGAGGAGGCGGAGGAAGAGGAGGAAGAGGAAGGAGGAGGAGGAGGAGGAGGAGGAGGAAGAATGGAGAGAGAAGAAGAAGACGAACAGGAAGATGCAGTGAAGGCGGAGAAGAAGGAGAAGAAGGAGAAGGAGAAGAAGGAGAAGGAGAAGAAGGAGAAGGAGAAGAAGGAGAAGAAGAAGAAGAGAAGGAGAAGAATGCAAGGAAAATGAGCGATAGCAAACTTCAGAAACCAAGCAGCATCATACACATGTGACCAGATAGTCGTGACCTCGAACCAAAAGCGGAATTGCAACACGAGTTCCACCAAATAAGAGCACAGCAAAAGCTCATAAGTGATAATGTTGGAATAGTCTCGTCATCATCAACAAAGAACCAATGTCGATCGACTCTGGCGCTCTGCGCCCAGACTACAAATGGCAGATCCTATCTAGCCTATCTACAATGCCGCTGGTGACGTCAACAGCTCCCGGAAGTACGAGCAGATCTTGGCCAATGCCGTTCGCCTCAAGCACCAGGTATGTCTCTCGTATCACTCACAACCGCGATCCCCTACTCACAGATGCCACGTGCACCCAAGGACCACCCTGCGCTCCATCCAGCTCTGCAGCGCAGCTCGGCTATGGCTGCCTGCCTCTCCCTGCTCGCCCGTGAGCGCGTGAGTGCTGGCCAGCATTAGTGCAGCATGCAGTCAGTGCCCGAATCCCAAATGTCGAGGCAGGCCCTTTCCTATATGGAAGTGGCCTGCTGCTGGGCCCCGGCCCAGAAGCTTCCTGTAGGCCCCGCGAGGCTGAGCCTCAGTCCAGACAGATCAGGCCCTTGGCCTGTAGTGGTTACCAGCGCCCAACTGCCCTCAGCCTGTTATCGGTCCATGTTGTGTATGCGGCCCAGGGCCTGCCTCAGTTACATGCGATAAAAGGCAGCCTGGGCCTGGGCGCTTCCAACCAACTGTCGCTGCGCAACTGCCTGAATTTCCCGTCAGTTGCATAGTAGTCCAAAATAGGCCTAGGTCGGGCCTGCCTTCAGTTAGGGCGGGCCTGCCTTCAGTTAGGGCGGCCGACCTCGCTGATATCGGGGCCCAGTAGGGCTTACCGAGGCATTGTGCCTCGCAAGAAGAGGAAGAAGAAGAAAAATAAGAGGATAGGAAGGAGAAGAAGAAGAAGAGAAGGACGAGACGAACACAAAGGAAGAAGAATGGGGAGAAGAAGTAAAGAAGAAGAAGAAGAAGAAGAAGAAGAAGACGAACAGGAAGATGTAGTGAAGGCAGAGGAGAAGGAGAAGAAGAGAAGGAGAAGGAGAAGGAGAAGAAGAGAGGGAGAAGAGGAAGAAGAAGAAAAATAAGAGGTTAGGAAGGAGAAGAAGAAGAAGAAGGGAAGGAAAAAGAATTGGGAGAAGAAGGAAAACAAGGAAGAAGAAGAAGAAGAAGAGGAGACAACAATAAGAAGAAGGGGACGGAGAGGCAAGAAAAGGAGGAGGGAAAAGGAGAAGAAGACGAAGGAGACTCACTCCACAAAAGTCCCTAGTGTGATTATGCTGCTATTAAGGGTTTCATTGTATATCAACACCATTAATGATTAACCCCATATTTTATCATCGACATCTTGTTTTTATTGTGGCTTGTGATTCGCGTTCAGCCCATCTGCCGTCACCGAGGTAACTTTGGAACGACAAGTTTGATATTCACCAAGGCCGAGGATGTCTATCACCTATTTGCCCATACACCGGGGCAACCCCTGAAGGTGAGGCCCTTCTTCATAGAGGCTCCACTGTATTTTGCCTTGTTTCATGTCTATGTTCATCCCCTGTTGGAGGAGTGCCTTTGGACGAGAAAGTGAAGACCTGAAACCCTGGGCCATTGCTTCTTTCTTCTTTTTTTTTTTTTTTTTTTTTTTGAACTCGATAATGTCATTATCAAAGATATGGAGCCATCCCTCTAGCTAGCAGGTTACTGCAAAATAGTCTGGAAAAAAAAAAAACGAAAGAAAAAGCATGGCTATCGCGGACCCAGACACCGGACCGATCCAGACGCAGACAACCAGTCGGTGCGGACATGATCCGAACGTCCGGATTTCCAGACCAGTCCGGACGATCTGGATCGGTCCGGATGGTCCGGATGATCATGTCCGGATCGGTCCGGATTAAAAAAAGACCAGTCCGGACGATCCGGATCGGTCCGGGTGGTCCGGATGATCATGTCCAGATCGGTCCGGATTATTAAAAAAAAAAAAAACCTGGCAGGTCTCTTATGCATGTTGAATGCAGTTTCGTCGTATAACCGTGACTTAAGGGGAAGTGTTCCAGGAAGACATAGCTGTTGGCATATATGACAAACATGAATGATCATTCCTTGACGTGCACTGTGCTGGCACAGTCATTGCAAAGCACAAACTGCTGCAAGGGACGAAAAAGTGAAGCAACAGAAAAAAGACCACTCCGCAGTACACTTGAATAAAGGTAAATATTAAATAGCAGTTCAGAATTTAAAGTTCAAAGTCCGAGTTCAAACTCTCTCTCTCTCTCTCTCTCTCTCTCTCTCTCGCTCTGTGTGTGTGTGTGTGTGTGTGTGTGTGTGTGTGTGTGTGTGTTGCATGTGCGCAGATGTGCACACCAGTCCAGAACGATAATGAGGGCTCTCTCTCCCGCTCCCGCCGTGTGTGTGTGCGTGTGTGTGGCGGCGGCGGGTGGGCGGGAAAGCACTCTGAAGTGCGTAGATCTCAGCCCTTTCTTCCCCTTGTCACTGGGGAACTGTGGTCTGCCTCCAACGGTCTGCCCAGGATGCAAGTAGAAAAGGGGCCGGTCCGGCTCTGAAGTGCGTAGATATCAGCCCTTTCTTCCCCTTGTCACTGGGGAACTGTGGTCTGCCTCCAACGGCYTGCCCAGGATCCAAGTAGAAAAGGGGCCGGTCTGGCTGCCCTGTACGGCCGATACCGGCTCCAAGAATCATCAAAACATTTTTCAGGGGGCGCCCTGGACCCAAGGAACAGGTCTAAGGTGCCCCCTTTTTTTTTCGAATTTCGGGGTTTGGCCCCTTCCTGACGGGCCTCCTATGGTCCGGCGTCCAGACACCGGACAGCAGACCGTCTGGACGCCTGTCCGGATGTCCGGACGGTAGCGATGATAAAAAGAGAAAAAAAAAGGGGTTTTGGCCCCTCCCGGACGGGCCTCCTACGGTCCGGCGTCCAGACATGTCCGGATGTTCGGATGGTAGCCATGATAAAAAGAGAAAAAAAAAAGAAAAGTAAAAAACAAGTAGGAACACTGGTGTTGCCCCTTTCGGGTCTCTTGTAGTCAGTTCCCCGCAGTTGCTACGTGTATGCTTGGAAGGCACTAACCTGCCCACTATTATGGCCAGGTTCTTGCTTCCCAAGCATGAACATATCACCAGTGGGGCCTGCCCTGTATGGTTGGTTGTTCTGCTGCGTCATGATCAGGTACAAGCACTTGTGTTCATTTATTGGTGTTAATCTAGGGTGCGTATACACACCCTGGGTTCATTTATTGGTGTTAATCTAGGGTGTGTACCCCCCCCCCCCCCCCGGGGGAGGTTTTCTGCATGCATTTGTCCGCAATTATGGTCAGGTTCAGTTTAAATAGTCCTTGTTGACCCTTAAGGATCAACCAGTTCAGGTCCATTTGTACTTCCGGCCCATGTGGGTGGACCACCAACCCGTCTGGGTTCTGACGCGGACGGGTTTACAGAGTCTTCATTTCTTTTTCCCCCCCTTCTCTCACGAGTCGACGAATTTGTTCCTCTGTTTTTTTTTTTTTTTCATTTTTTCCCCCTTTTTTGGGTTTGATGGCCCAGGGTGCCTTTTATGTCCATGGTTAGATCAGCGGGAGCGGGAGTTGCCAGTGTTTGGGAAAGTGTGTGGTACCTAGACCGGATGGGACCTGGACCGGGACTTCTTGGTGTTTGAACAGAACCACTTCCCTGGTTTAGGGTTTAGGGGCTGTTCCAAAAGTGATTCTGCATTAAGCACCTAACGCAGCGTGACTTATCGGACTGAAAATCTGCAGCCCTAACGAAATCGAAATAAGACCCATGGTGGTCATGTTAATTTGCATTGGCTTTGCAATAATGTCTTTTAACGAGGGGAGGAGG